CTTATGAAATAAAATTACAAATAGTGCATGGCTAATGGAACTGCGTATCAAAGGAAAAAGTTAATTCATGATGGCAAAGTAGATCTAATGTTAGAGACTTTTTGCTCTCTATTTCCTGGTCGTGGTAATAACCTGTAGTTAATTGCAACAAAACACACAAAATATTGCTAGGATATTACTGGTCCCACTTGTGAGGCTATGCTGCAGGCAGTAATCAGGCATTTTTTGAATGTTTACTATTGTTTGTCTGACGGGTTGGCAATACTCATCGAACACTTTGAAGCACCTGAGTTCAAACTCCCTCTGTGTCCTTTCTCTATGGTTAAACTTTGAAGTGGGCAACTTAACATGAAGTTATTAAATTAAATCATGACTATAAATCCTTCGCATCAAATATACTTACTGAATCCAAAAAGCTGACTTAAATCAAAATAAATGGACAGAATTGAACATAGAAATCTTGCAAATCCAGATTTTTGCCTTCCCCCCAATAAAATATGTTGATTTAAATCATTAACAAAAATGCTTTGATTTAAATCAGACAACCCTGGAACTTCCCAAAACGATCCTCCCTTGCTCGAACTTAGACACAAACGTGGCAGCCATAAACAATTGGCAAGGATCGCCAGCTGGCTGACGCATATCCAGGGAGTGTTTTGTGCCAATTTTCCCATTACGTCATGTCACTATAACATCTTCGGTTTTCATATTGTAACAACTCTGAAAGACACAAAACCATAAATCAGTGTTCTAGCCAGGCGTTCAAAAGCACATTGGGCCGATACGCTTAGCAAAAACCCCTGACACGCTGAAAATCCTCGATACGCAATTGATACACTTCTATTTTGCTGGGAAATGCTAATACTAAGTTTAAGAAACATTGCAATCAGAGATTTGAAAAAAGAGTTCTTAAAAACATTGACAAAAAGTTACCAGAATATCGGCAAAATGCAACGAAATCGAACGGAACTTCCACAACGCGACATAGTACACACGTCGTACACATGCACAAGTTTCTAGAGTACATGTACAGCTAGCTCTGTGGAGTCATCACTTGCGTGCGGCATGCACAATACTGGTTCCAACCTTACCGCTGACAAATTAATAGTAAGAGTAGGTTGGTTAGGAGCCAGAATACAGCTTCGGATTGTACACAGCGGTGATGGCGTGGGTGGCAGCAGGGTACTTGTCCTAACCTTTCAAATAGTCTCGCCTTCAAAACTATCGAAGTAAGCTACAACTAACTTGTAACAAAACTTGGCCTTCCTCTCTCTGTAGTTTCTTCTAAAATGTATTTATATCGATGGTTATTTTGATATGCTTTGTTGTGGTTTACGAGGACAATTTTTGGTAAGACCGTGGCAATGGTACATGTACGTGCATGGCACTGTACCACATGGCAGCCAATCCACGCACAGTCTTTTCGTGTCCGGACTGGGTATCTTCACATTGTAGTGTGGAACAGACCATTTTTCTTTATACAGCGACTCTCATTAATACGAGCTCGGGTAAGACAAGACTCTGGTTTAGAGGAGCATATTTGCCGGTCTCGACTGAATTGTGCACATTCCTATAAGGCAAAAAATGTGTTATACGAGCTTGGATGTTACGACATTTTGGTTAAGACTAGCATTTTGGTGCACTGGCTGAGCACACATCTATTGTTGACTGTCTATTTAGCGCAAGCTTTTTTGACGGCAACTTGTCAATCAGCCAGTCCATTCAATTTTGAAAGGTGCTTCCGTAAGATATGCGTGTACAGTAGAACAGTGCTGCGGTTTTCCCGCACCGAATTGAGCCATTTGTGTCTGGTGCTGCAAGAGAGACGAACAATGGGCATTTGTGGTTCCCGTACCCAACGTAGAAATTCTGTGTGATGGCTCTTGTACCGCCTGAACACAAGCGGAGTGCCAAAAGTGCAAGGACCGTAGTGAACAAATGAAATCTTTTGTTTGATTCCCCCGCCCCCAAAATTCCCCTAGACCAAAGTCCCACTAGGAAACTAATAAAAAGTGTGTTTTGTAACCAAACAGCCGGCCCACAAACTGCCCACCCTCCGTCTAAAAATCATTACCTGCTCCCCATTGTAACATGAAAATTTCACCCCTTCAGATTTTGACATTTCTATAAATTCTCAATTTGAGAAAATCATAATTAAAACCATGGTTTTCAGTCCAAAAATGTTTAATAAAATAACAACCCTAAGTTTTAAAGAAAACAGTGTATCCCTCACTAATAATTTTTTACCAGACCCACACGCCTTTCCAAAGTGAAATCTGATATTCGCCCTCTGCTGTCCACACCACCAATAGCTATTCACATACATGTAAACATCAGTGAACCAGCAAGGAAGAGAAAATTTATTCAAGCGAAATCTACAGAAATGCAGTTGTGTACAAGCCAATATAACACAGAGGCTTGCTTCCTGGGATGACATCACATTTTTGCCTGTGAATAAGAAAATATTCATTAGCATGAAAATAAAAAAGGTAGTAAAATGCCATTTGAAATGGTGAAGCAAAAGTTGAAAATAAGGTTAACTGGGACACAAAGGTGCATTTCAGCCCCCTAGGCCCTTTTTTTCTGGGGACCCTCCTCAATTCCAAATCTTCCAATCTGGGGTTGAAAAATTGGTTTCTCACTCAATCCTCTGAAATCTTCCAAAAATTGTTGGAAATGTTACTATGAGGTGTGCCTACTGCTTCAATCCTTCAAAATTCGCTGGCCATTCCTGTCCTTATGTTGAGGCAGTGTGAATGGCATTCTTGGGCAGTAAGGTCAATTAAAAAATATTTCAGGCTGAATTCATGCATGACTAAGCAAAATCAACGCAAGATCTAACCATGACCTTCACGCATGGCATCCTTTGCAATAAGCCATGCATTTTTGCCATTCATCCTCAATCCTCCAAAGTTCTCTAAAATTGTCTGATTGAGGATGGGGGAGGCTTAGGGTTAATTAATGGGTGAAAGATTTCTTTCCAGTGTGCATTGCATTGCTGAGCAGTGCATTTTATTTACGAGTTACGCCATGGAAGATGTATGACACACTGCAGTTAAAGCATACATAAAGCCATCTGATGGTGAAATTGAATGTCACATACATGCATACTGGACAAATGCATGACTCAGAATTTTGTTTGATAGATAAATATGTACATGTACTGGGTACACAAACTGCTAATAAGCATGTGTTCTGTACAAATATACTGCATGTGCTCCAGGTACATTTACCAGTACATACTGGCATGTATGTGTTTAATTAAAATGCTGTCAGGTAATGTTTTGTGCAACAATTAGTACACATGCGATACATGTACCAAATTGACTATGATTGGCCTATGCATGAAGGGCAAAATTTTGCACAGTAACTTCGAGAAAGTGCACATGCACTATGAAGACGAAAACATATGAGATATCTATGAATGTTCGTAATTGCTTTTTGAAATGATTTTGATTAATTTTAGACTTATTTTGCTGAACTTTACAAGGTACAGTATTAATATGACCAGTGGCCAGAGCAAGGTTTGCACATACATGTAAATACCATGCTGTAGGTAATAAAGGGCAAAGATCAAAACTATTTTTCCTGTTGCGATGAGTGTGCGGAAGGAACAGGCCCATTGTTCTTCTTATTCCTGCATTCCCACGAGCCCCATTTAGAATGCAGGATCATGCCTGAAATTGCATAATAATAGCCTAAACGGTCACGCTGGATGCCTTCCTAACTAGTGGTGGGAGAAATTGGAGTGTTTCAAAACCAGCAAACCAAAATTTGAAAGGCAGTTATCAGGTGGTTGTTGACCTTTTGAAAGCATGAACAACTCACATGACAGGGAATGACAGAGTTCTTCCATTTAATGGCAGTTGGAGCAGGTTCTACAGTTGTGGATTTCTTAGGTAAACGTTATTTGCACTCTGTGAAAACTGAATCACAGTGTTTTTTTAGTTTGCATATTTCACATGTGTCATAATTGTCACTAAAATAACTTTTTTGTTGTCAATATTGAAATCATTGTTCTCAGTTAGTCGAGCAGTATATTGAAAAAGTTACAACAATGCACTCCATGCTTTGTGTGGCCAGGCCGGTGTGAGCAGGCTGCGTGCTGCGATCTTTACAAGGCATAGTTAGGTGTGTGTATTCATAGACATCTAATTTGTTGTTCAACACAGCAATTATTCGTCATACTCCGTACATGCACGTGATCTAAAGCATAAAGGAACAAACTACTTCATATGGCCGAAAAAGAACTACATGCTCTTCCCCACGCTTGTAAAATGAGCATAGCTTGTTGATTGATAAAAAGAAATTGACACTATTTGTTCACTACTCCTGAAACATTCAACACAATAGAATAAAATTTGCATGCATTTAATTGTTAGACATTGTAGACCATGCAATTTGAAAGTAAGGTACTGTGAGATAACATTTGTGATTTCGGCCTAATAAGACTAGTTGATTACTTTGCCTGCACTGTACAAATCATGACAAAAGCAGCAAAATCTGACAAAAACAAAGACAAAATCAGATGAATTTGGCCAAATCGGGGGAGGGGGATTGGGAGGAACGGGTTATTGACATCATTAACCTAACCCTCCTCAATCCTTCACCTGTTGGAGGATTGAGGAGTGTTAGGGCTAAGGATGCACACAATGGAACTTCTAATGAGCTCCAGTCATTCCCTTGGCACTCGCCTAAGCTGGAGTTCTTTCCTGTGAGAAAGGGCCTATTGAAATTATTATCCCCTTGCAGAACGAGAGGAACACGCCCGAGCACGTCGGAACAGGGAAAATACTTTGGATCTTTGCCCAAAGTAACTTCTTAAGTATTTTAGGATAAAAATATTAAGGGTGATCTTTCTCTTATCCACATGGCTGTTATTAAATTGAGCTCGAAGTGTTAGCCGATGCTTCCGAACATTGTGTAGTTTCTGTACATGTAAGACACAATTATAGCATACATATTTTTCATTAATGAAACATTCTTTTCATTTGAATTAGCTGGATTGTCGATAAGTGTGTCTGACTTTTCTGATCATGGGAAATATCAGTGTGCTGCAAGGAATTCTGCAGGCACCCGCTTTTCCAAGGCAGTTCCGTTGTATGTTAGAGGTAAGTTGAAGTTGAATAGAGAACTCATCAATGACAATATGGATACAATTAAAGATTGCGCTGAGAAACATATGGGAGACTGTTTCAAGTGCTTTAAACTTGGATTGAAAAATGTACATGTGTACGTTGTATGTGAAGGCATAGAGTGGAAAGATTTTAGTATGATAAAAACCAAGATATCAGGGAATAGATATTGTTGAAGTTATTGATTCATCATCGTTTTCCATACAGCTGTACATCGTCTTTTTCTTTTAGAAGCACACCTTGATAAGATTTTGTTAGTTTTTAGCTTTGGTTGGTACCCTTGATGATCAGTTGTGCCTGCAATAGGCTGTGTGCTAAGAACCATTGTGATAAAAGCTATAGGTCATCACAAACACCAGTAAATACAGAAACACACAAACCAGTAGAAAGAGTTGAGAAGTCGGAGAAACTTGAGGGCTTACATTACATGTACACTATACATGTTGATGAGGAACTGTAAGTATTAATCGTTTGCCATCATTGCGGTATTTTCAAATTTTCAGTGAGACGAGTTGCACCACGTTTCACCATCTTTCCAGAAAGTCAAGAAGTTGTCCCGGGTGGTAATGTAAATCTAACATGTGCTGCTAATGGTTCCCCCATGCCTGTCATCAAGTGGATGAAAGGAGATGAGGATCTGAGTAGTTCTGATGATGATCTTCCCCTTGGTAAAAGTGTTCTTCCTCTGAAGAATGTGCAAGAGACAGCAGAGTACACATGTTACGCTATGAGTGACCTTGGGGAGATACAACATTCAGTGACTGTGACCGTTCGGAGTAAGTAAAAATTATTTTGTCATTGAGGGAGGGCATCCAAATATCGGTTAGCATGGCACTTGCAGGCACACTTTTATTCTCTCTAGTCTTCCCAGTGAGTGGGCGGTTATGCATTTCTTCGTGATAAAAATATTGTGATACTGACTAATATCGCAGTATTCTTTTACATATGGTATTCTTTCATCTAAGAGCAGTGGTGATAAGCCCACTTTCACTGGGAATGCCAATAAATACAGGCCCGTGTGAAGGTTGACGTCAACTTCACAAAATCCTCTAAACTGAAAAAAGTATTATCATTTGTCAGTCAGTTTATATTCAACCAAATATTGTTCATGTTATAAAATAAAGACTGAATTTGCAATTTTTGAGGCAAGAATGAGGCAGTGTTCCAACAAAGGAAACTTTAAAATGGGTATGAAAGAGCACAGCCTTGTAAAAACATTGTTTTCAACTTCCAATCAGATAGTATTACCCACATGTACACCAAAACTGCAAATGCAGTGACAGCAGCAATAATAAAAGTTCAAAGGCTTGTAGCTGGTGGATTTGCAGCTGCTTTAAATTTTCATGTTACCAAGTTAAGCTGGGCAATTATGTCATATCTCTGAACTATAAGTAACAATGCAGACATGATTTGTACCACAAAGAATGGATTGAAATATGATGGTATGGTGGTTTTTCTTATTTGAAAAGAGCTCTGTGAATATTCCAGGCGTATTTGCAGAAGTATTATAGTCTTGCCTTTCCATAATGATTTTGCTGTTTTTTGGGTATTCATGGATCATCAGTAGGTATTGTTTGGTATTGAAAAAATATTGCCCCAATAGGTAATACTGAAATAGCGTCCAAACCAATGCGCATGTTTTGGCACAGAATTCCAGGCAGGAGCTCATTAACTGAGGTTGTTGAACTGCACTATTTCATAATTAGGGTGCTGTGGTTATAGATTCGTGGCCATCTTGCCAAGGCAGTTCTAACAACAACAAATTAAAGCACTCAACCACAAGCTATTTAGCTTTCCTCAGGATGGGCATGGAAAGTCAACACTCAAGTATAGGTTTTCTTGGCATATTTCAGAAAATGTGTAAATGAATTAATTAGTAATACATGTAGCAGCATTCCGGCCACCGTTCCCCATCTTGCTTACGATTACACCATTTAGTGGGAGAAAATAAAAATAAGTCTTAAACATACAAAATATAAACAAGTATTACGCCTACATGAATAAAATTAATTCTTGTAATAAGAAAATAACAAAAACAGAATCACTTTAAGTGGGTCAGAAGTAAGAAAACAACAGTCACTAAATAAGGCAGGATTGACTTGACATTACTTTTATGAACATGTACCACAACATGTACCTGTGTAGAGAGACCACGTGTCTATAAAGACCACTTTTTCTGTATCCCTTGAGGGTCTTTCTGGGCAGGCTTGACTGTATTTGTAACCTCTTAAATAAAACATTATGCATATTCATTCATTGAAGGACACAAAACAAAAAATGAATGCTTGTTAGTGCGAAAATGAAAGTAGATTTGAAGTCGTTTCCAAAATCTACACTAAATGGAATTTTTATTTAAAAAATTAAATCACACATTTTCTGAAATTGGTCAGGAAAAACTATGGTATATTAAAATTCTGAAAGCTGCCTCAACACTAAAAGAATTTTTCTCATCAGTTCCTTTTAACTGAATCAAAATGAGGTTTTTGTTTTCTCCAAAAATAAAGCTGTGTGGAAGGCATTTGTTTGTGAATGACAACACTCTCACATACTCTTTGTTTAAACTGGCTCATGTATACATGTACACGTACATGTGGAATGGATACATCTTCCTTTTTCCAGTACAACTGGCCACAATAATATTTACAAAATTACATTTTGTAAATAACTTTTATTGATGCAAGAAGTTGAGTCATTCTCCGATTGTTTTGGAGATGGCCTTTTTATGTTTTGACCTGCTGTTTTTACATCTTATGAAGGAGTAATTTAATTCATGAGCTCTCAATATTTGAGAAGTGCTACTGCCCCTGTTCCTCTGCCCGTCCGGCGTTCATCAGGCATATGTAGTATTCACACTTATGCAGCTGCACAGACCATTAACGTGGTCCATTACCAAAGGACTTGCTCTTCGAAGATGCTATTTGTTTGATGAGTATGTTGTGGATCGTAATGAAGATCCTTCAGTGCTGCGAAAAAGTCATTGTGGGATTTAATATTAATGCATGTATAACAGTATATTTAGAGCAAAATAATCATTCAGCGATTATAAGCAGTGATGCTCCACATCCGTGAAGGTGTTTGATGATTTCGACATTACTTATGTGTTACCATAGAATATTATGCAGGTAGAACATTAATCATTTGGTCAAAAGGCGGCCCACCCAGAGACATAGTACCATTTGTTAAAACTGAAATCACCAACACTTCAGAAATAGTAATACAATATTTCCCAGGGATTGTTGATTATTTTATGGAAATAAGTGAACGTATGTTTGTGGAATAAAATCCACATTTTTCCCACAGCCCCAAACTTTGGTACGTCTCAAACTAAATGAAGTACATGTACAGTACATGTAGTTGACAGTTGATACCATTGGTTCTCACTTCTTTCTTCCCTCCTTTGTGCTTGTAGTACTAAATATTAAACTGTTGAATGCATAAAAGTGTATATAAGACATTCAAAACGTGCTGCAAGTTGTCTGAAAAGAAAAAAAAATTCGGACCTGTTCATTGACCTACGTGTACCGTACAACTTCACAGTTGTCATGGTGATACTTTTTGATTATAAGCAAGCTGGCCTAGAAATCTGCAACCTAATTTGTAGGGGTGTAACGATACCACTTTATCATGATACGATGTGTATCACGATACTTGGGTCGCGATGCGATACATATCACGATACACTATGTTTCGTAAAAACAAACAAACCAATAAGACGAAAGCCAATCTAAAACAATTCACTACCAATGTACCAATCTTATATCAAGCCGTGAATTCACGAGTGAAATGTGAAGTGTTTGCTGCTGCAAGTAATGGTGCAGATTGTTAGTCACTACTTCTACTCCCACACAAACGGCTGTAAAGAGTCCCACTGACACCATGTATGAGTATTGATATTTCATTGACAGCCAATCACAACACAATAACCTGATGGTCCCAGGATGCTGTTTGCACACAAGGCTTACGCTTTGAGGCCAGCCACACTAGATCACTTGTGTGCATTAGGGAGCTCAAGTACTTTTCGCTGTCCAAACCAAAGATTGTATAACACTGCGTAGAAAAAAAAACCACCAGGAAGAAAAACCTGTCTAAACCTGATAAACTGGTTTGGTTTAACAAATGAAAGGATAAAGTCCTATATTCATCCAGCTTTTCTCATGACACTGAGATCAGTGTGAAGGTTTGGCAGCATGATGCATGCCTGACCGGCACTCTTGCGTTCTATTGCCAGGTAGGCCTATGCCATGTACCTTTACATGTACATGCAGCGAGTTGTCCTTGATGCTAATCCCATCCAAATTATTTTTTGCAAGAGTAATCAGTATGGGCGATATTAAAAATGTAAAGATATACATACCGGTATATCTGAAATTTCTATTAGGCCTAACTTTATTTTCAGCTTACTGCACATTTTTATCATAATTCCCCCTTCCCCCCAAATATCGCGATTCACATTTTTGTATTGTGATACCGTATTGTGGTATTTGAGAATCGTGACTATCGATGCATCAGTGAATTGTTTCAGCCCTACTAATTTGAACACATCACAGACCTGCCAACTAATTTGATTATGCCATATTTTTATTTGGGAGTTTGTTGAAAATACAACTGTAAGGTTTTCACTGCCATAAAATATGGGTTTTGACCATTTTGACTTGCCTGAAAAAAATCCTAGTTCAGTGGCAGAGAGTGTTGATTGTGCTAGCTAACGAACAGCTTTGAGTGTTGAGTATGCCATGACACAAGGCTTAACACTGCTCTGCATTGTAATCCAAGGGCATCCATGATTGGTGTATGGGGTGTTAACAAATGTATATGGGGCCGAGGGTATCAGCCAATCAGAACTTTGCATACAAAAGTTGCATCCAAAAGTGCTAGGCATTACAGTAGGTGAATTGTCTCTGCACAATGTTACAATCTAGTTGAGCTTGAAACAGTACTAGCATGAAATGATTTTTGAATATAGCTTTGGTCTCCCAAAAGATCAGAGAAGGCAATCATACAAAACAATACCCTGAGAAATGAAATTTCATATAGAAAGGAGAAAAAAGATTTAATCATGTACATGTGACTGAACACATATTTTTTCGCATGCAAAAAGTGTGGACTCAACAAAATGCGAATAATCAGTTTCATGTGACTCCAGGGCCATGAATGTAAATAATTGTTGAGTCAAATGTTTATGGGTCTGTGCCTGTTGTTAACCGTTTCGTCGAGTTGAAATGTTCAAAAGCGAGTACACAAGTTCTCTGTTTTTAAATTTACAAGAAGCACATGTATGTTTTATAAACTGAATTTCATACTTTATCAGAAAATCTGCTTTTTATGCTGGTTCTGGCTGAGAAATGGATTTCTTGCTTTATTATTTTTTTCACTCAATCTGAAGCAGGTTGTGTAGCAGCAATGATTTTTTTCTGTAACTTTGTACTCTTCTTGAATGTATGAAAACTCTTTTACAAACCATTTGGTTAAATGTACTGTAAAGTGCTCCTTTATTCATGCTTTCCAGGACAATTGAGAACGCAGTTGCTAAGATGTCAACCAAGGAAGACATATGTGATTGTATAGGTTTTTCTATTGAAATTGTGAACCCAGAATTTACTCACTGAAAACATGTCTGAGAAAAGCATTTGTAATCGGTTTAGCTATGTACATATAGAACAATGAATCTGAAAAGAAGAGAAAATTATTCCAGTAAAATCTACAAAAATGCAGGACTTCTTTGTGTACAAACCAATGCAACATTTCAGCTTTTTTCCTAGGATGACATCACATTTTTGCTCATGAACAGGGAAATACTCACTGGTATATGAACCAAAAAGGCAACAAAATGCCCTTTTAAATAGTGAAACAAAAGTTGAAAATAAGGTTAACTGAAATACCGAGGTGCATTTTTAAAGTTTGTATTAACCACTTCCTGCCGGGAACTCCGGGATCGGAGATGTATGGTTTAAATGGGCGGCCGGGGTCTACGAACTCGGACAAAGGAAACAGGGCCCTGTAACAAAAGACCATACTCCAAACAAAAGACCAGGTTGCTGGGCATTACGGACATTTTTCACTCTCAAAAGTGGTGATAATCCAGCCTTGTTTTGAAACCGTATTCCAGGGTTTTGGGCATTGAGAGCGAGTGGATTACCACCGGCGACAAAAGCGCTCCACCACCGTAGCGATGAGCCACACAGCACCGCTGCACGCTAATCTGGCCTCTATTGAAAAGAGGTCAGCAGTGCACTAAGCCAGGTTCGTGAACAAAAGACAGTTATACAACACCGCACAATCTGGGCTCTGTTTACAAGGCTGCTGGCCTGGCTGAAATACTCGGGCGTAGGACACCTAACAACTTAGAGTAGTGCCTAAAGATTACTCTGGTGCAGCTATGAAAGACCGTTAAATGAAATGATGAATTTTTGAAGGATTTTGAAAACGAAAAAAATGATAGCCATGCAGGCCCAGTATCATCAACATTGAAAAATGCCCGGCATGAAGTGGTTAAAAATTGATTGTAACTACCCTTTAAACCCATGGGTTAACCTAACCAACCCAGAGCCTGTCAGTCCTGCATTTTTCCAAATTAAAAGCTTAAATGTAGAAAAAAATATGGATATCAGTTCCTTGTACCGATCAAAAACTGACAAACATGTACATGCACATTAAAAGATGCCATGAGCCCTCCTCTCCAATTTCCCATTAATTTTCCACAATATCTTAAAATCTTTCATAAAGAGCCTTCATGAAATGAATTCAGGCAGCTTTGACTATGATCCTTACTCATATATCAGTGAAGTAATCCTTTCCTCTGGTAGTATTCTATGTTATCAAAACTGTGCCTTGAAGCTGAACATTTATTTGAACATTTATGGATACTGGAACAAGGAAACAAAAGTAAACCTTCATGCATAGTGAATGTAAATTAGGTAATCATATTGCCTTTTGAAGTTTCATACACGGCATGGGTTAGATATAAATGACAATGCAGGCAGTAAATCGTTTTCTACTTTGGCTTGAACTTGGATTGTAGCTTGCTCATGAAATCCAACGATATTTAACTTCATGGCCAAAGGATAGGGTCATTTTGCATGTTTCATATACTGTACAAGTACCTTCCAGTAAACTTAGTGTGTCAACCTGAGACTCTGTAGGTTTTACTAGTACTTAGTTCATATTAATTTTTGATCTGAATTTTGTGTATTTTATTATCATTTTTGTGCTGCTTTACAATTTTTTTCTTGTTTTGGAATTGACAGCTCGCCCTGACCCTCCCCCTGTGCCGACATTGAGTCAACACACTGCTAATACTGTAACTGTTGAGTGGGTTGCTGGCACAGATGAACCTATCAAGGCCTACGTTTTGAAGTATGCACTAAGGTCCTCTCCAGGTGCTGCAATAGAAATAGCAGATATTACTGATACCACATATACCATCCTTGACTTGTTGCCTTTCACTGAATATGAGGTACGTGTTGCTGCAGTCAATACAATAGGCCGAGGAGACTTCAGCCGGCCTTTGACAGTCACTACGGCACAGCTTGGTAAGCACATGTTTGGTCCTACAGTACTGCAGAAGTTATCCATTGAATTTTATTTTTGTTGTTCACCTTAGTATTTTTCCATGGCAATAAAGCCGGGGTCTTTTTATTCTTTTTAAATAGCACCATCAACTCCTCCACGAGAAGTTCGCGCAAGTCCTCTGAGTGCTAGTACCATACTGGTGCAGTGGGAAGCTCCAGAAGTCCCAAATGGGATTGTGAGAGGTTACAACATCTATTATAGCAACACACCCAGTCAGAATTTGAGTTTTTGGTACAAGCATTCAGTGGAAGATGGTACCCAGAGATTGACAACAATCAGTGACCTCAACCCAGACCAGACGTATTCAATACGTGCCTCGGCATTCACTGCCATTGGTGAAGGGCCAGCCTCCACAGCAGTCCAAGTAATAACAAAGCAAGGAGGTATGTACATGGGCCTAATTTCAGATCTATTTATCATGAGAATCTTCAGTGGATTATCTGCTCTTGGGGGATTTTTTTTGGCAAAATAAAAGGTACATGTAAACCAGATTAAATGCATGATACTGCTAACCATGTGGTCATCAACACTGACACAGGATTCACAAACATGCATTGACTATTGCACATCATTGCTCTGTCATCATGTGGACACACATGAGGGCTAATTCCTACACAAGTGATTGGGAGAGGTGGGGTAAAACTACATGACTCACTGCAAGCATCACACACAAGCATATCTAAAATGTAGGGAACTTGTCCAAGGTTGAACTGCGGTTCGAATGCCGTCACTGCAGTTTGGACGGATCCTCATTCACCAGCCAACTTTTGACTGTCTCTGCCTTTTTAGAATATTAAAGGAACTGACAAAAAAAGCACCCTATTGTTATTCAACTTTCACATCAAGTGCAGCAAGCCCAGTCTATCCACAGCTGTCACGTTCAGTTGCACAGACACTTTTGGCAACAGTGGCTGCTGCATCAGTTTTAATTCAAGGGGATCCAGTCTCCTCTCGATGGACCAAAACCACTGATTTTCTGTCCTGCGTGCAGTTGAAACTGTTGTATTGTTTGATTGACAGTTCCGTTTCTTAAACTTTTGTTCCTGCAGGTGAGCTTGTCAGTTCGTAATTAATTGGCCTATCACTGGAACCCTTGAAAATCATCAGCATAGCCAACCATGCTGTACATACATGTTTCGTGGATTATTTGTAAATTATGCTCTTCCGTCATATCGGTTAGAGCGGTCATCTCAAAAGAAACACTTTGTATAAATGTATCTCAAAAAAATCACCTCCCAATCTGGGAACCACATGAAGTACACAAAGGAACTGTGATTCACTCTTTATAATAGGGAATTTTCTGTTTGCAGACCGGATATTTTGTGTCTTTTCCTGATGAAAAGGGCCCTCAGTTATTTTTATGTACCCTTTTCATGTAAAACATTTCATAACGGATTTACTATGGTGGCCCTGAAGGGACGTAAATGTTGTAGACTAGTTGTGAATGTTTTTTTGAAAATTTATGAATTTATTTGCGACAAGTTATGAATACTTGTGCTATGTCATGAATAAATTCAAGACTAGTCACAGAGTTTGCCATGAATATTTCTCCTGTAACTTGAGGGGGTTGATATTTGCCCCAGCAACACACAGCGTCATCTGGTTTTTAGAGCAAAAGTTTCTAAGTCATCATTATGGTCAGGGTTTCAGCTGGGAGCCAAATCAGGTTTATGTTAGTGTGAAGTGTCTAACATGATAACCGACTAATAATTACAAATGTCCATAGAGAAAGGATCAACAAGAGAGCACGTTTCTTGGAACAATGGTTCCACATCATGTATTTGCTGCCAAGTGCAACTCCCTGCCATTTTTTAATAGTGCCATTTACACTTCAAGCTACTGGAAAATTATTCGCATCTAGTGATAAAAAAAATACAGGTCGCAAAAATATTCAGGACCAGTCGTGAAAAATATTCACGACGTTACAAAAATATTCATGATTAGTCGTAAAAAATATTTGTCACATAACACAAATATTCACGCTGGCAATGCACCTTGCCCACATAAAATTTGTACACACCGAGCTTGGCCAGTTGGTTCACACACTACACAATTTGACAGTCGCGAGTGACCACTACCTTCGTCGAGACGTATGGGCATAGTGCCAGTGCATCACATCACAACTAGTACGATCTGGACATGATTGCACAGAGTACGGCGCAAACATGATCCTTCTTGCTTGAAGATATTTTTATTCATTAGCAGGGCCATGCATCTGTGCTTTAACCCCTTCACGGCACGACTGGTTTTACCACAGTGGCCTGCTGGGCAGGTTTAATTTCCCAATTTTGCTAACGGCAACTGCAGACATGTAGCAAGGTCACCAGGCCTTATCTGCCAACTTGCTTGGTCACACACTGCACGAACCCCGGCTTGGCCACGATTCATGCCTGGGTATTTGGATCCCATCTAACATAATAACCAGGCACCCAGCACTTGCCTTACCCACTCAACAACACTAACCACCCAATGACATTACAATTTCATGTACTATTTCATTTACAATGTCTTGGAATACAGGAAACTTGGCAAATTGATTCAAGTGTGATATACCTTGAAACAAGGAGCAGCGCAAAGTGCCACTTCACAAATTTCACACATAAATTTAGTCTACTTTCTTTGACCGTGTCTATAACAAACATCACACCGTCTGTATGATCTAGCTCATATTCCAGTCGGGGAAATTTCTACAGCAAAATGTCTTCCTATCAGTCTACCGGTACCTTGACCAGGAAGACAGGTTGGTCTGCCTCTAGATCGATACACTGGCAAATTTGGTGCACGCAACTCTAAAATTTCACTCACCAACATGTGTCTAAATGTCAAAAAACTGTCAGTGCCACCAATCACCTTATACCAGTGTTGTAGTCGAGACCTTTATGTCCGCGACCGAGGCCAAGGCATTCGAGACTGAGACCAAGACTGAGACCAGCTCTTTTAAGACTGAGACCAGCTCTTTTAAGACTGAGACCAGAACTTCGAGACCGAGACTTTTGCAGTTCGAGACCAAGATGACTGAGACCGAGACCTTGCACAACATATACGCCTTCATGTAGTTCATTGATGGTAAATGTGGTGGACAATTGGCATTAATTAGCAAAATTGAGTGTAAATTTTACATGTAAAGCACACAACATATTCAATATTCCGTGAAAGAGTTTTATTTGAACTCTGGGAAAAAACAGCACACAGTTATTTTGACCATGAAGGCATGGACTGCCGATGCTATAGAATTTTGTGTAGAGTGTACGGCATAATCGTACATTAAACATGTACATGTACAGAGTTTTTGTGTTCCATATGTATAGCAAAATTAACGTGGGCGAGTCACGTTGAAATGTTTAAAAAGGCAAAACGTGGGGTCTGAGTTGCTCGGACTATGCCAAAAGGTGTGCAGAAGTTCAATTTATGAGTTATACTCTGTAATGATCAATGGACAGGTTAGAATGTTCACGCAACATCATGGGCAGACCGAGACCAGGTCTCAAGACCTCCAACACTGCCTTATACACAAGATAAGAGTTTACGAGAGCAACATCAAGCAAAAATAAGAACACTTTCTTATGCCATTTGATTGATTTTCTGACTGAACGGTGTGACGATGCCAGCTGGTTTGCAATGTCCACACCCCTCGTTGTAGTTGAGTGCACGCCTGTGTTTTTCCAAAGTGATGCCGTCATGGTTCCGCTTTCCGGTGTCGGCCATCTTGGCTGTATGCATCATGGACAGCATACGGACATCTTTTTTGTCTTGCCAGACCAAGGCGAGCAAGCCCTGGTTGCAAGAGCGGTGAACATCATCACCTCTCTCGAGTTTCAAGGAGCACAAGTCCTTGGGCATGTCTTGACGATTGCTTCTCACCGTCCTGACGACGTTCATCTTCTGGTCGTATAGCTTCAGGTACAGTTCAGGGCTGCTGAACCAGTTGTCCAGGAAAATGGTGCACCCTTTGCCAAGAAGATCGGCATTCAAGTCAAGTACGATTCTCGTACTTGCCAGTCCAGCAGTTTGGTCTTGACAGCTGTAAATCTGGAAGTTCCAGGTGTATCCAGCAGCAACACCCGTGCTCTGGCAGACTCGATACACCTTGATGCCAAACCTCGCACGCTTCTTGGGGTTGTCTTGCTTGAACTTTGGTCCCTCTTTGAATTTCCAAAGGGACTCGTTGGTAATAATGTTGCTAGATGGAATGTAGATGGACTTGAACTTCTCGATCAATTCGTCTACTACCGGGCGGAGCTTGAAGAGTCGATCGGTCGTATCTGCACGGCTGTTATTGACGAAATGCAGATGGGTTAGCAGGTCGGCAAATTTGTCGTGGGGCATGGTGTTCGGGAAAAATGGAGTCTCAAGTATTGAGCCTCTCGTCCATAGGACTTTATGTTGGGTTTCGGCATCAGTCCCATGACGATGATCATGGACAGGAATACTGACATCTTGGACTTGCTGTTTGACTTTTCGGGTGTTCAGTGGCAACGTTGGTCTCGTTGGCAATGTGCAGGGCCAGATCTGGAGTGAAGAACTGCTCGAAGATTTCAACAGGAGTGCTGCTCTCGTCCAGTTCTTGCAATTGAACACCCGCTGTGCCTTGAACGCTGTGTCTGCGGGAGAAGTTGTCATCAGCCGTCCATTGAATGGAGGAAGAAGTCTTGACCTTCTTGGCAGGACTCGCTAATGGTGGTTGCCCATTAGAATCACTGTCACTAGTTTCAATTTCTGAACTATGTTCAGATTCCTACGTGAAATCTGAACCCCTAGTCGCCAGCAATGTTTCCTCTTCACTTGAGGACATTGTGAATGCAACTGAAGGGCCGGGAAGCGGCCAGTAAAATATATACCAAGCGCTACAGAAAAGACTCCTTTTTGGACGAAACAAATGCCCAATTATGCTGAACAATGGACCGTGTACGCTGTATATCCCGAGTGTGGGTGCTGTGAACTTGTTCAGGGTCCAGTAGGGCTGTTAACAATGGCGCACACTATGTCAATGGCCTGTATTCATCGTGCTCCGGGCTCACACAGAACATGTTGCATAAGCCCTGACCATGGCCTTGAGCGCTGCTCCACGGAGATTACCTAGGGTATTCAATCAAAGACAAAGGGGATGTTCTGATGAATAAAATCCAATTTACTGGGTATTGTGGGGTTGACCAACTCTCCAAGTTGCCCCAGATTTCCATTCAATGCAAAGTTCCCAGTAATTGCAGGTCTACACTAAATAAAAGTTGCATGTGAGGTATGCAGCTTCCGCCGTCACCTGGAAATTAGACTTTTCTCCAGGCACGGCGTTTGCAGTCATCTGGCGCGAAGGGGTTAAACTTTGAGATTGTTTCGTTTTTATGCATGTCTGTGAGATAAAAAAAAGATTTGCAGTTAATGTACACAACATGATAGAGTCCTCTTTATTTTTCAGAAATTTTATTTTACAAATCTGGGTTTAATTTTTTGATGACTGATTCCAAACTGTTCCCTGTAAACCCTCTGCTATCAAAAGGCTGATTTGTAGAACTGTGCAGTGCCCGGTTGAATTCGTTCACCAAAATAGGGATCATTTATTGTTTTATGTTTTTAATTTTTAATGTATAAAAATTTGTGAAATATCTAAATTTTGTTTGCATATAGTATTAACCACTTTCTGTGCAAAACAATTTAAAAATATTTTATTTATTACAACTTTCACGACATTTATATAGAAAGAGGGTTTCATATGTCCCCTTGAAGAAAATGGAAGTGTCCAAGTCATGTGAATGTGACTGACCATCCGGGATGACCTCGTATGTCTACATGCATTGTGCATGTTTGTAAACTCATCAGCATTCAGGTGATCTACTCACATGCACAATAAGGGCACAATTTTGCGCAAAAGGTTTTGTGAAGTTATTTTACTTCACATTGCATTTGCATGAATTACAACTCAAAATTCATGTCAAGGTAGAATAATGGACCTTAATACAGGTTCCTTTAATGCTCATGATGTACACGTAGTTTCTCTGCAACAATAGCGTGCAGCTGGACCACCTCATGAATCCTTGTGTGCTTGAGTTCACTATGTAGTTCATGTTAATTCCCCTTCCATCTTAAGTCAGCCCTTGTATTTTTCGAGGGTATGGACATAACGTGGTTTCCATGCACAAGTAGTCGCGTTGCGTCCGAAACAGGAGTTCATTTTTTGGACCTGAAAAATAGTTGCTAACTACATCACCACAGTTTGAAAACTACAACCCAGATGTATTTTTTCTCAATTCAGTGTTCACTGCTGTGTTTCAGTTCTAAAGAAAAAATTGTCTTTGCCAAAATGCGAAATGTGGTTTCTGCAGCCATTCTGTTGTGTCTGCAACCTTTGGTGTTCGGTAACGCGTACGTGTACATGTATGCCCCTCATTGGAAATGGATTCGTCCATGCTTTAATAGCTCGTGCTTAGAATTCCTGAAACAAAACGTGACAGATGTTGTCATGCATGTATTACATACGTGAATTGGTTTTGTTTTCTTCTCTGGCTGATGTGAAGTATTCGCTTTTCTTTTGACGTATTTTCTTAGTCACCATGTTACGCAGTTTTTGGTAAGAATCCCAATGTATTTGTGAACCTGTGCGTTTGGTGTTTTGTGCAGACAATCACGTTGCCTCAGTCAAAGAATTTCCCCATTGAGCCAGTGTAAGGAGGCACCCTTAATACGTTTAGTTTTAATCGTCGCGTGGAAATCGATAATGCTCATAAATAGGGAATGCCAAATAGACAACGCTTCGTCGACGTCATGACAATTTAAGACATGTTGCCATGGTGCATTATTGAGATCTTCCTTTAGATCACCATTGTCTACCGTATATATTTAAAACTTTGAAAGTTAATTGAGCAACCTTTCATTTTAGGCATTTTTCAACTGTGTAAACCGTAAACAAGATAGTGGTCACTTATTATGACTGGTAAGACACTACAATCTTTCATGAGCTCTGGGTGGGAACTGAAAATGAGATCGAGTGTGGTCTGAGTGGATTCAGTAATGTGGTGGTTCGTGTGTAAGTTGCTACATTTGAAACGAATTAAAACTAGAAGTTATTGGGTTAGGATTCACATTATCATTTTCGGAAACATCACAATTGAAATCCCCACTTACAATTATTTCTTTGTGTTTGCAGGAGGCCTTATCGATAATGTCGTCAACTTTGTCTATAAAATCAACACAGCTTGAAGGTGGTCTATACACAGAAGTGATGAGTACAGGCTGTCTTTGTTTACACTTGATTTCAACCCACATGCATTCGACATCATCTGTTTCAAGATCTTCACGACAGATGAAAGTCAAATTGTTTCAAATATACATAGCAACCCCACCACCATGCCTGTTCCTGTCTTTTCTGACAATGGAATAATTGGGTAGAATAATCTCATTGTCCTTGATTGACCCATCACAGAACGTTTCATTTTAGCAGATGATATCAAATGGATTCTTAGACATTAATATTTGAAGATGCTCAAATTTATTAATTTCACTTCTTACATTAAATGAGAACCCCTCAGAGCTTTCATTGTAGATAACACCATCCCTTAGGTATCATGTGGTTCCTTGTTCTGTGGATTGAGCATCTCTCTGACTGTTTGAAGATACCGGTTCCCATCCTGGTCTTGGTGATGTAGAGGCCTTATCTGAATCGTTGAGTGACGTGGTTGATTCAGATTGGTTGGACACCGTTTCTGATGGGGATAAGGGTAGAACTGGTTTGCTCCTCGGAAATCCGTCGAATCAGCTCTCTTCTTCATTAGAAAATCAGAATACAAGGTCTTCCCAAAAGAGGTTCGCTGATGAGGGGTCCGGTGTGAAGAAGTGTTCTTTGGTGTACCTGTGGTGTGCTAAATTAGGTTTGTGGCAAATAGGCGTACCCCTGTTGAGTTGAGATGCACACCGTCTGAAGCGAGGTGGGTTGCATTTATGTTTCTATTGTCAATGAAGCCCCAGCCATTGTGTGTTGCAATGGATTTGAGCAGATAATTGAAATCATCTACCTTCTTGCGTTGAAACATTAGCTGGTTTTTGCGGTGTATGATCGATGAAATAGTTGCTGTTCTAGGTGTTAGTGATTCGCCGAGGGATGTGGTCTTTGCAGCAATAGTTTCTGGGCTGTCAGATGTGTTGTTAGTTCCAACATGAAGAATTATCCCAGAAACATTGTACTTTGCTGAGAGATGTATGGCGTGGAGTGCAAGGTCTTCAATTTTTGCTCCACACATCGTGTGACAGATCACTTTCTTTTGCCAGCTCAGCTTCCTGGGCTATAGCTGTTTGATCATGGAGTCACCAATGATCAAGACATCTGCATGGCTGTTTGTATTAGGTGTAGCCACTAGCCTTGTCGGGTTAGACAGTGGTTTGTCATTTGCAGCAATCTGTTCCTTATGCTTTCTGCAGTATTGTGCTAGTTGCTCTTTAAAAGAGGCCTTTTCTTTCAGGGAACGTGGCTTATTTAGGGCTGTGTTTGCAGAGGGTCCGCTCTCCTTGCCAGGTTGGATGTTTGGCTGCTAGGCTTCGAAGTACGAATCAATCAACAGCTCGGCCTCGGTCCGTGAGTGATCAACGGAGTTGTGATCATCAGCGCTGCCGTCAGTGATGACGGAATCGACCTCGATGTGTCAGTGCAGCAAAGCGGTTGCTTGTAGGCACTGCAAGAGCGTCTTACACTGCAGTATCTAACTGTCCTGTTGTCGCACAATGGTGGTTCCTGCTCAACGTACAGTGTGGGAGCTCTTAATTTCTTAGTCTTTATTTAACAATGGCTGTTTCATGTCAGAGCATTGTACCCTAAAATAGGATGATGCTGTTATTTAAATTGTCTACAAGTGGAAATTAGCAAATAAATGTAACCCAATTGTTTTTATGAATAAGTTTTTTGCTTTCATCCTACCCCAAACAGTCGCTAAAGATTTTCCTCTTTGGAGAGTGGTTGCTAAAATGCAAATTTTCTTTGTGCCTGCTTATATTCACTAAAAACTTGATCAACCGTAGTGCATTCTCCAAATCCATGATGCATAGTGAAGCGGCCGCCATGTTTGTCCTTTTTCTTGGCACCAGCATTAGCAGACGTGTCTTGTTAGACATCTTTGAGTTTCATTGTGTTTCAACTTTTGACACATTTGATTCTTATGATGATAATAAGCTTAGAAGCATGGTACATGTACAAGTTTTAAACTTACATGTACTACTCGCAATGATTGGTATGTGACAAGCATTTTATTTGAAAATGATATGTGAACAGTATTATGTTATATAAGTTGACATGTACACAACTAAAGTGATGATGTGAGCCTGCACATTTGCCACTGACCCAAAGTTTTGGAGACTGCAGTGACAACTTTCAGGCGAGTCAATGTGTTTCAAATCTGGATTAAGACATGGAAAAAACTACTGAAGATTGATGCCATTCCTACCTTATTCCCATCTGCAAGAAAAGAAAAGGAGCCAGAAAAGCTGACCAAATGCCCATATACAAGAGGCTCCTTTGCCAAATGCAAAAAAAAAACAGGGTAGTAAATTAGTACACACATACAACATGTATGTGGGATCTAACTTTCCAATTTGATTTGAGATGTAGTCGCTCGATTTTGTCCCAAAAGTTATGCTTTGTGATCTTTGTTTCACGAACCATCTGGTGTTGGGAAAATCAACAGACCACCCCTAGCCGAGAGATTTACCTTTTTTTGTGACGTAATTTATCACAAGGGACATGCGAGGCACAGCCTTGCAACTGAGTAATACACAGACATGTCATCAATGCATGGCACCCACTATTCAGTAGGCCAGGTACTATACATTGGCGTGGCAGCCATTCCATGTACATGTATGCCCAGCAAGAATGCTCAGCTGGCTTCAAGCGGTACAGATAGTCTTGCGTCACCCATTACATGCAGGCACTACCAGACCAGGCAAAGATGCATGCATGCCCTCTATAGATACATGTAGTATTACAAAATGTCCTGTGTCCAACATAGCACAAGATTTGATCTCAAAGAGTTTCAGATTTCAGCGTGTTTCACTTTTAAAAGAAAAAGAAGCTTATTCCCCTGGTTCTTCTATTTTTTGATCAATAACTCCAATGTACTTTGGTTTTTAAATGTTTAATTTATCTCAAAAGAGTGTGAAATTGCACTTGATTGCTCTTAAATTTATCCTGGCTAAGACACAGAAACCCACTCATGGCACATTGTTTATGCTCAGTTCCCAGCCAACCTGAAATGTTTGCGGGTGAGGCCATTTCTGCAACTCAGATACGCCTGACATGGAGACAACGTGAAACAGAAGCCCAGATTCTCTACTATGAGCTGTATTACAATGACTCCAAGACTGGAAGTGACGAACACAGGAGTATTCCTAAAGCAGAGACATACATTCTAGAAGATTTGAAGCCCAATACTGTGTATAACATCCGCCTAGCTGCAAAATCTAGGGCTGGGCAGGGAGCGAGCACACCTATTGTGTCAGTTCGCACGGAGCAAGCCGGTGAGTAATAAATGTTTCTGTTGAGGTCAAATAATAACAATAATAATAAATACTGCATATTCAAACTTAATCTAGCATGTGGTAAGTGCTGCTATGATTGGTAATATCAATTTTAAAGAACCAGTCTAAATTTAGTGAGTTTCATATGTTGCTGTTGCTTGATTTTCTGCATCAAGCAAGGTTCATGGAGAATACCTGGGATAAATATTGGAACAGTGGAAAACTGTTGAACCATGGGATTAAACCATTATCAGTTATTTAACAGTAATATTCATAAATACCTCAGACAGTTTCCCTATTCAACAACGAACACGGTGATCGTGTATTAACATTTGATATTCCCTGCAGAGATTTCAAAATGCCCGATGCGTAAAAAATGCTCTGGCACCTGGATATGAGACAGTTTAATCCATTGCTATAGGTCAAGACTCTGCGTGCGACGTGGCATGCATGACATGCCATGCACGCACCAAGTCCATATATGGAGTGACTTCTGGACAATTTGCACAAGAAATATACCTTAACATGGATGGAAATTAAAATTCTACAACGAAATCATTGGAAGTCTATCATATATTGACTTCGTTTGACTCTGACTAAGAAAGATATTTTTGAATGGGAACAAAAATGTGCTTGGCCGGTCTCAAACTAACATTTCAGACCGGCTCAGGAGAATGAACGCAGATAACGCCAGAACTGCAGGTGAGGCGTTAGTTGTGTCCATTCTCCTATGCTGGACTCAAAACATACATATACATGAAGGCATCTAAAATGAATGTAAAAATACATGGAAATGGAGGCATTTGTTATGTACATGTAATCTGCACAAATCTCTGACAAATATCCTGCATTTTTCAGTTATTTTCAAAAAATGCTTGGCTTAGATTTTGTTTCTGACTTCCAACATGTATGTGCCTCCAGTGCTCCTATATTAGAATGGTTCCTGGGGTGGGCTATTTATTAAAGTGCTGTTTTACCAACAGAAACAAGTGTATTCGTGTTACATGTCACTGGTGAATTTTAAGTGATGACATAAGGAAAACTTGATTTCATTTCGCAATTCTGCCTTCAGTGAGGACTACCCCAAAGGTGAAACATGGAAGATGAGCAAACATTAACCAAAATGCAGGGATTTCTTATTTTAAACTTTATTTTTTGCATGTAAGTGTTGGCCCCAAATGGTCATACCAAAACTTTTGTGGGGCAGGTGGCAGCACACGTTTAAATTTGGGCTTAGGTTCCTACAGCATTGTGCTCCTGTGACTAAAACTTGCCACACCCAACAACTGCTAGAGCAAACTTTAGCGTGTGGACCCCTTTGTGTTCGTTAAAGCGGCATGCCACTGTATAAACTTCAGCTACCTGTACTTCTGAAAATATCTTGATAACAAAAACCAAATGAGGTAACATTTAGCTATCAAAAGTTGAAGTTAAAAAGATACTGTGCCCCCTCCCCCACTTCTGGTGTGGTAGCAGCAGAACAAAGCCATGAAGAACATCTGCTACAAGCCAAGTTTGGTGACATTACTGTACAGCTCTACCGTCAGACAAGTGTTTTGGTGCCAACCATACACATGCTTCTTGTGTATATAATTCTTCTTCATGTAGACATACCTGTCAGTTCACCTGTGAAGAAAAAATAGTTCCTGCTTATTTCTGAAAAGCATCATCTGGTTCAGCAAATTTGTCGGGGGAGATAGCCAAAGAATTTACAAAAAGATGTTCTTTCAAGAATGAAACTAATGCTTGTTTTGATAATTTTTAATCACAGTCATGCATCTTATGTCCAGAATGTGTTAGCACATGAAGTATGCAATGGCCTATTTCTGTACGCTGCCCCCATTTTTGCGGGTTTCCATTCTGAGCATTCAAAAACTAAACTTAAACCTCAAGACTTTGTCATAAATGCAGGGAGAGATGCTGCTTATCAAACAGGGTTGATAAAAAAACGCAGGAGAGCCCCTTATGCACCATGATCCCAGGCCAGACTCAAACCCACAGCTTGCAACTTTACTTGCAGACCACAACTCTTGTGCCCTTGAGCAGCAGGCCATAGCACTCAACACTAAGAAGAATTCTGTTTACGAAATTAGAAAGTTAGGCATGTTGGTTTTCTAATTAAATGCAAAGATGTGATGGAGGGAAGGCAAGGTTACATTTTAGCCTAATAATGTCCCAACTGAAAGAAATTTGAAATAAGAGGTGGAAATAAGTTCAGAAAACTGAGCACCATCCGTTTTGGTTTGCCTGAACACTATCATTAGCATCTAAGAGTCATTGCATTTTGGATAATTTTTCTATGTTATTAGTGGTTTGTGCCCCTTAAATCTGAAGTTGCAGTGATACAAACATACCTAGAAAAGATCTTAGTGTGTACAACAGAACCTGTAACAAGTCTGTTCCTACAGAAATGATGGGTAAAGTGTCAATTAGTTTTGTGATTTTTTTCTGTCTTTTTTTTTTGAAGTTTGTTTTTAGTATTGAGTGCTGTAAATTGATGTTAATCTTGCTTGTGTAATCTCTGTGCTGTACTTGTCACTGACCCTTCCTTCCACTAGTCCCTGGTGCTCCCCCTCAAGATGTCAAAGCTTCAACCCTGAGCTCTACAAGTCTTCGGATCGAATGGGAACCACCACCTCAAGACCGCCAAAATGGGGACATAACAGGTTACAAAGTCAGCTATGTAAAAATACCTCGTTCGGGGGAGGTTGTGGAAGCCCAAGATGAAATGTTGCTGGCAGTGGGTCCTAATGACAGATCATGTGACTTGGTTAACCTTGACAAGTGGACAGTATATCAGATAACTGTGCTAGCATCTACAAAGATGGGGGATGGACCTGCGTCCCGGCCCATAAATGCTGAAACAGATGAAGATGGTATGTACTATTTAATTCTGACTTAACTAGAGAATAATGCAAATCTGCTTGCCTACCATGCATAATTTGTTCAGCAGTTACATGAAGTGCATATCAGCCATGTCACCAGAGTAGCATTGTGATCACCACTGTTTCGTCTCCCCTGCTAGATACTTGTTACAACTCTCTAACATGGATCATTCCGTTTTACAGTTTCACCTGTTCATAATTTCTGCATGTGCAACACATTATTCCTTTTATTAATTTTCTCATTGTCTCACTTTTGCAAGGCATAGGTTCATCTATATTTATAGAATTTTTTGCACCTAATTACAAATTTACTAGATTTATGTTGCTGTTTAGGTTTGCGTGTGGACAGCAATCAGTTTAACAACTGCTGACCGACTTTGCTTGAATCTTTGCATTCACATGTATGATGAAATGTGTTTCGTGAATAAAATGTATATTTTCATCACTACAGGGCAACTTTGTGATAAGTACCAACAGTAGTTAAAGTAACTTGACCTCAAGACTGCATGAACACAAGTGTGATGTGCGAGTTGTTTGTTCTTTGCATTTGTTGTTCATGTGTACATGCATGCTGGTGTTGTTCGCTTGATATACTGTACAGTACCACAAACAGTAAACATCCTGTGATAAACGGCATCCAATGGATACGGGCTTATTACCCTGATATTATCATTACATTTGCAGTGCACCAACTATTCTGCTAATCCACATAGTAAACACTCTGAGGTTAAGGAAGGTCATAAAATCCTTGCTAGCATTTTCGGAACCTATTACAAAGACATCTCCAGCAGCTGAATTAAATGTCCTTTTATCACAATGGAAAATGCTCTTGCAGTTGGGTGATGGATCGTCAATCTTACTTGGCAGCTGTCCCTTTTCTCCTGGTCTTTGCCATGACCTGTACAGAATGCACTTTGCCAGGCGTGACAATACTGATGATCTGTACAGAATGCACAGTTGATTGACCTGTTACAGAAACAGTCCAAGGTCCCTTCCGCTTTGAAAACTTTAATACTTTCCTGGAAAAGTTTCCATGTAAAGAAATATCCGGAAATCATCCACCCACAAACAATCATTTAAAAGACGAATGCCAGCAATCTCTCTTAGTGGTAGGTAGTTTGCAGACAATTGTTGGGGAAACTGTCACATGTACGATAGATCTTCTTTTTCCAACACAGGACAACATGCACTATGTCACACATGCTGAAAGCATGCACTGTAACATAATCTAAAACTTGTTTGTTGAACTGGCAAAAAATCTTGCATTCACTTATGTATCATTTAAAAATGTAGAAAACTCCTATTTTCACCTTCGGACAGCTGATAATTTCCAATAGCAGAACGGATTTTCGTTGAAAAAAATCATCGCGATGATCAATGAAAGCATGACAAGCATAACATCGCACAGAATGCGCATACCTTGCTGTTGTAAACAGTGGTTGGTGAAAAATGATCGTCACTGATCTTCTTAATTTTGGGGTTGTAAGCAAATAGTTTTTCTGCAAGATTTTCAAGTAAACAATATCAGAGAAGTATGAATCAAGTCCCCAGCAATTTTGCCTTTCTGAAAATGAAGCCTGATTTTTTTTTCCTGAATTATGTAACTGGCTAAATTGCGGAACAGGTCAGCTGTAGCAGACATTAAACACAAATGTTTGTGGATCACTGCATTTTGGGCTCCTGACGTTAACAAACTGATTTTACAATGAAGTATTTATTTTATGGAAATTTAGTTCATTTATCAGAACTCCAGTAAATGAAAAAAAAACCACTGAACTTGCATAACTTTAACTTGACTTTTTCATTTGCTGCCATGCCACAACTACAACCGCCTCAGCGCTTTCATCCCAACCACCAATCATAAATTGAAACAAGTGTATTGCATACTCATTTTGATACAGCACCAACAAATGCAAAGCTACAGCCCTTACACGTCACACGATATGCATATTTATGAAGTTCACATGGGCGCTACTTTGTTCGTTGTATACAGCTGCCGCCAAAAAAAAAAAAAGTAGGGTCGGTAGGATGGAAATTTTTTGGGGGAAGAGGAATTTTTTTTGTCCTGATTGAATGGCATGAATGGGGAAGACAGCTTCCAGAATTATCTCAAAAAGTGATAAACACCTGTCTTAATGTAAATATTTCTCTAGGTGACAATTCACAAGAATTATGGGCAATTCACACAGTGTGACTCGATCAGGCAATCATGACGGTAAAATGGCCAGCAATGTATCGCGTGGTAAGCGTGCTTGAGGTATCCAGACCAGTGGTCAAAACTCCTTTTGCGGCGGCAGGAAATTCGTTGAAAGACGCTCGCTTCAAGTACGAGCAAAACAAACTCAAATTAAACCTATGAACACAGAAAATACACACATAAATAAGAAACCAAGTTCTGTGAAGGAACTTACAGAAAACCTTTTGCAACCTCGATTTTTTTTTACCTGTGGCTTTAGGGTTGTGAGCATGTACATGTATGGCCAATGTAGAGTGATCGACTGTAACATACAGTACATGTATAGACCAGTTCTGGTTGGTACATTTCTTTGCATGGGCATGGCGCATTCATGTTACGCTGTCGCAGTGGTTAAAACACCTGCCCGAAGCTCAATGCATTAAACGAAGCTGCTAACCAGAGCAGCTTCGTTTAATGCATTGAGCAGCGGGCAGGTGTTTTAACCACTGCGACAGCGAAACGTGAATAACAACTCATGAAAATAACACACATTTCTTTCCAAAAATTGCAAATTTATGTACAAAAACATACAAGAACAAGCATTTTAACTTGAGAAAAAGTTATTAAAAGATATTTTGTGAAGACAGAAAAGACATCAGCTTTTCTAGACTTGCCTGAACGGGCACACCTAGTTAGAATATTAATTGCCCAAATGAAAATTTGATTGGCTTGGGCTATCAGATAGGCGATTCGTTGCGGCCTGCGTTGTGTGAAACTAGGAAAATGACTTGTCAGGTCAACAAAGGTGTGGCTGTTCTGGGGTTTGCATGTAGCGTGGGCATGTTTTTACTTGGCAGATCGGGTTGCGGTGTTGGTGTTCTCTATTATGCAGGGGTTAGTGTGTTTCACATTTGCAGTTAACTCCTTTTGATTCACATCGACACGCTAAGCGTGTTTGCATGTCTGCTAAAATTCTGACCTGTACCATACATGTACATGTAGTGCTTCAGCTGAACCACCCAACGGAACCAAAAATCATTGAATGTGGCACTTTCAAACCGAACCAAACTGAAGTGATTGGTTCAGATGTTTGACTCAAAATGGCATGACATTGTTATCAAACCAAAAGAACACAAGAAAACTTGATTAAAAAAAAACCAAACACAATGAAAATGGAAAGCAAGGTATACTGCAACCTGCGCCCGCAGAGCCCAGCATTTGTACGTACAATACGCAACATGTGATAGTTGTGAAATGCTCATGGTGAGAATTTACTGAAAACAAGCCAAAAATATGCAAGGTCACGCATTGCTGCTGCATAACAGTGCTAAATTCTTACTACATTCAATTGTGCATATTATTCATATAACATTATTCATACAACATTATTCGGTCTATAACGTCTTAAATAGCAGTGCAGAATGAATTTTGATAGGATGCTGATCGTAATCGGACCTGTGCTCGACTGCAGGCACAATTTTACTGGGCGGAGTAATGCTCAAGCACATGCGCGGCGAGATGTGGTGGGTATAGCGGTCAAATAGTGTAACTTGCTTTTCCTGTGGTCAAAATCATAGCACATATACTTTATAACAGAATTTCACCAGACCTCGGAATGTTTTGCAGTTCTCAATAACAAAAGGCCGGAATCCCTTTAAAAAAAAGACTTATGAAAAAACTGCCCGTTTGGCCTCCTGGGCAATGTCCTGAGAATTGCTTACCGGTACTTGATCTGTTTAAGGTTCTTCAAATGTACATGTATAAAATGCTATAATGTTATTTTGGTCGCTGAGTATGTTTCGTTGAAAATAACCCAAACAATTCGTTTGAAATCGAATTTGATCTTGTTTCCTGTAAGGTACATGTAAGTAACTCCCATTATAGCATGCTTTTTTCCTGTTTTCATATACATGTATATCTTACTATTGTTTTGTTGGGTCAGATGTGGTCCACACAAAAATGCGCAATTCCAGTCAGCGAAACACGGTTGGCAAATGTCACTACTACGACAGTAAGGTTCCATGGAATTCAAACTCAAACATACTCATTGGGGATATAAAAAGTACTGAAATCGAAGTTGCTCGTGGATGGGGGATGGAGGAGATTCATTGCTTGTACATGTATAATGTATTTTGCATATGTTTGTAAGGAGCTCTCCGACGTCTCAATGTGCATTGACCATTTTACGTGTACATGCACCTGGGAGCATGTATGTGCATACATACGTGCATGTACGTGACTGTGTACATGTCTAAACTTGAACCAAACCGAAATCAGCAGCTACAGTTGCCATTAGATTCCCGCAAGTGCTATAGAGCAGCTTGTCTTTGTAAAGTCAGCCACACAACAGGTTCCATGGTAGTACCAAACTGCTTGACTTCACACCTGACCGCAAGGTGTTAGTGGGTTTCTAATCCTGCTTTATGGCTTTTATTGCCTCAATGGAAATGGTACACAAAAATGATAGATAGGAGCGTTCGTATATTGTTGGACATAAACTGTTTGCAGTACTGTACATTATAAATTACAGTAAAATCTGTAATAAGTTGAAGTCGAAAGTCCATTTATCTGGAAGCCATATTTCATTCCCACCAAAAGAATAAGCTTTTACTTACAGAAATACCTTCGTAACCCAAATACCCACACTATAACATCTGCTTATCTCAAAGTGTTAGTTATGAAAAAGCAAAAAGAACTCCACAAAAATGCTTCTAGAAGTGTGCAAAGGAATGTGAGATTAGGGTTGCAAGTCATCACTGCCAAGTGTGCTTCCACTTTCCACACTAAGACTTGTGTGCCTGTATGCACTTAGCAT